AAAATTTTTGCAACAGATTCTCAAGAAACCCTTCCCTTACTCCTCCTCTCCCCCCAAGACTTCTGGTTTGATTTTTAGGCTAGATCTAGAGAGTTCTTAAAATAATCAGGCTTCAACTTCACTAAACCTTGTGTCGCTCATTTGGGATGTCAAGACAATTAAACTAGAGTAACTGCTCCTCTTTAATAGGACTATTCCTATATTTACATACCCCTACAGTAATCTGAAAGCTACTAACGGATGTAACTAGGTTCCCTGAGGGAAAACACAGCCTTGTTCCCTCCCCCCAAGATAAAACAAACATAAACCAAGCGTCTCAGGAAGAGACTGAAGCTTGGCCTACGTCCAGTCTTCATATGACAGCACAGTAACAGAGTTTAACTGCTTTTAATTGATGTGGTTTCACAACTATGAGTGTGCCTACACAACCTACTTCAAACACACAGAAAAGTGTAATTATTGCCATTCTCACGAGGAAGAGGTAGACCGGAGAGGCACAGCTCAACACTGAACTAAACTAAATGGCACAGAATGTACCAGCAACCTCTTTCCCCAAGTCCTTCCACTTGGACTCATTTAGAATATCAATAAGAACTGTGACTAATGCACTGCAGTTCTGCTAGCACAGCAGAACAGTTCACTCTTCAGAGTAAACAATGCATTTTACTCATCATGGTACTAAAACATCACAGTTGATGTGTATGCCCCAGCTTGTGACTCCAGCAATCTGGTTACCTGAAGGAGCATGTTATTCACTCATGGTGCTGTTACATGCCCGGTGTGGCAGACCAAGAAGAAGCCAACCACCTCAGCTGGGTCTCTCCCATCTCATTGTCAGGACTGACCCAGATGGAACTGGAAGGCTGAAATGCCAGATTTGTCAGATAATCACTATATGGTTTCCCTGCAAGAGTTGGCTAGTTCCCAAGAAGCGTTATTTGTGAGCAAGCAGGCAAAAATTTGCAGATGGGAGTTTGTCCCCAAATAATGGAAATGTCACTGTCAACAGTGATACACAACTCTTAGAATGTATTGTCCTAGCAAATAAGATGCCAACATTAAAATAGAAGAAAAATACAGGAAAACCAGTACTATCCAAAGGCAATAGGACCCATGCTTAAGTGGAAAATGCCATATGATTGTGATATGAGTGGGTGAGGTTATGCACTGGAGATGATCTCAGTCTCCAGCAGTGGTATACATACTGCTCCACACATCACACAACCCACTTTTAAGCCCCCCTCCCTCTCTCCCTCAAAAGTCTGTTTATCATTCACAGATCTTTCCTTCCTGATGCTATCTTTCCACCAGATGTCACACTTCTCCTTTATTTCTTGCCTACTCCTGTACTGGTAACTTCAAACCCTATCACATAACATAGATATATTAGTGCCCTTACTGACCACTTCCACAGAGGATCCTTCACTAAATATCAGTCCCTCCAGTTGATTGGCAGTAAAAACACGGCAGTTAAGCAACAGAACGCGTGCTGCTTTGTGCAACTATGTTTACAGGCCTCATTTAAATAGTAGTGCTTACATTGTCATAACCAGAAAAATCTGAATAACTCTTAGAGTCCAAAAATACACATTGTTACACATCAACAGGTTATTTAAGGGAACAAGAATTCCTTTCCATATGTCATGTTTTTAAACAGTGCCTTTCTTCGTGGTTTTATTTTTCAAGTATGTCATTACTTACTCTAGAGGGGAGAAAAATCCATTCACATTGGCCAAATGCACACAAAAGGAACATTATTTTCCAGCCAAAACACCTAAATCCCACATTAAATAAATGCTTTATGGTATGATTTAACCTATCAGAAATGAATTATTTGAACTCAAGGGTATTTTAACTATGAGAGTAAAGTTTGGTCCAATACTGTTATGTTCTGGTATGACCTCTCATTTGTTCTACTTTGAGAACAATTTCCAAACTGCTGTGCCAGGAGTAACCCACTAACATTAGATATCTTACAGTCTGCAATCAGCCTTCTCCTGTTTTGATATATATAATGCTAATATATTATTCTAGAAAAATAATCCTTAGAAAGTTTATTTCAAACACAGAATTACTTCAGCTTCACTGTGCTATCATACTAGACTGCAATGGTTTAGTTTGATGAATTTATACAATTTCTTCCCTGTCCTTAGACAATGACCTATTTTTAGACACACATCACACTGAGTGAGTATGTCACTTGATAGAATACCATCCCGAAGATTCAAGTCTGTCATAAATAAATATGTAAGACAAACTGGTACATACAAGTTGCCTCTGAGACCTGCTTTCAAGTCCATTCCAGAATGCAGAGAATGAAAATCATTTCAAATGAATGTCTGCTGGTCTCTGCCATGCTTCTTCTGTAAGAATTGCACATCACAAAACCGATGAGCATTTCCATACAGACAGCTCTAAGTACAGAAGGAGGAAGATAAAAAGGAATCCTTCCGCTCACCAGGTGACAACCCTTTCCCACCTCTTTCCTTCCCTGCCTCTCACAGGGGAAGGCATCTACAGGGATTCAGTCACTGCTTCTCGTTAATTCTGCAGAAAGGAGAAATTACCACCTTATCAAAACAAACAAACAAAATGAACCCCAACAGTAAGGCAACTTACAGAAGTATTTTATCTGAGGAAACAGCAGTTGGCTTAGGGTTTCTTTTTTTGGTTTTTGGCTTTTTTTTTTAAACTCCACCTAGCAAATATTGCCTAGCAACAATGGGAGAACCCTCCTAACAAAATGAATCATGCAGGTATTGGCTGTTTATTCCCATGAAGGGCTGTGTTTCCACCCTGTCAAATGACATCAAGGCCATGTTGCCAGAGGCATTGGGAGTTTTGACCTCTAAAAGGCAATTTTCTCACTGTCTGCTCAGAAATGTTACATTTTTCATATTGAAGTCTTTTATATCATATCTTGTAGGTTTTAGATCTATAAATAACATACTAAGAACCTCCAGTACAATAAACCACAGCTACTATGTTTTCCTATTAACACTGTAAACATTAAATATCACAGTTATTACTCCATTAGCATAACTAACTATGAGGCACAAAGAAAAAGCATTAAATTGCATGGCCAAGTTCACTGTAGGTGAACAGAGACCGGTAGTTGGTTCTAAATTTGAGGAAAAAAATATCCACTAGATCACCAGATATCCACATAAGCAGGGAAGACCAAAGCCAATCTGAAGTATAGCTCCATTAAGTATTCATGGGAGGAATTACAATTAAGTGTTTTAAGTTGCAATAAGGACATGGGTTCACGACAACAACGCTAACCAAATAGTTAAGTGCTGTTATTTGTACAGCAAGGATGCTGTAATTCTCCCCTGTAAAGAGACAAGTACGGGTTTTCTTCCACCACCCCATTACTTCCTATTAAAAGCTGCCTATGTCCTAGCTGGAGCAGCTCTGCTGTGAATGAACTGGGAGCTTTGGTCCTGAAATTATTGCTTTCCTAATTGCTCCACAACGGATCAAATACTCTTTTATGCAGCCTGTGACATTTCAATTTGTCTAGTAAACAGTTAACCACAGTCCTGTATATGCTCTTGAACTAATATTATGTTTTTCAAGCTGGGAGCAGATGAAAAATAGGAGTCCTAGAACACCACAAGTGCTGTTCTCTGCTAACTCCACTGTGAAATACCATCAGGTTTTTGTTTTCTTACTTGCTTTTGGCCATGTTAAAACAATCATCAGATCTGTAAGAGGATCAGAATTTGCAAGCCATGCAAAGGCAAGTGGTTGTCCCTGATAACAGTAGCATTTTCACAAAACTTCTCTATCCTGTAGTATGGCACTATCAGCGTTTTTCACAAAATTGTTCTATGCAGCATACAGACTAAAAGTATGACAAAAGCACCAAAACTATCTTCATACAGAAGAGTTTTGATAAATAAGCCCCTTACATTTTTTTTCGACCATCTACTAAGTACCTAAAAACAATTACCTTGCATAGTCAGAGAGAACCTTCATAATAAACATTTGTGAAATAAAGTAGAAGTACTCTAGTGTTTTTTGTTTTGTTTAAAACAGTTACTGTTCTCAGAAAACCAGAAAGTAATCTCACATGATTCAATAATCCTTTTCCTCCAAAATGCTCAAAGATCTTGTTTTAATTCTGAACGTCACCTGCAGATTGGCAAGCTTTTTTGGGTATCATTAGGAAAACGATGCCATGGCCTCCAACTACTTTTTTTTTTTTCATTTATAAAAGAGAGGCACAAAAACCTCCGCATAGAGCAGTGGTTGGAACATTTTTTGATTAAAGCAAAATATTAAGTGTTTATTTTCCTATTTAAGGAGTTTACTCCAACATTTTCTTAGAACTGAATAGTAATTCCCTATACTGTGTACTTTCTATCCTAGGAATGGAGTATTTCTCTTCATCAAACAACATTTAATTTGCTACTCGGTACTTTGTATAGGCCACAAAGCATTTAAGAAACAGCAATCTGATTTAGAGATTCAAACACTTTGATTAAACATCTATTTCTGGGAAGACAAGTGTCAGCACTGTTGGTACACTACTCCTTGGTCAAAAAAAAAAAAAAAAAAAAGAACTCAACAGTTGAGAAAAGCTTGCCATGCTTTGCAATGCAGCGTGAAACTCTGGAGTTTACAGATATTTAGATGGCTTGATTTATTCAGTCACCATACCTACCGAATCCAACTTCGATTATTGCCTTCAAATTTAGTTTGTCAGGAGACCTGCTCCCTTGTTATCAACCTCAAAAGACAAGTTCACTCCAAAAATAACATCCCATACACACATATATATACATGTGTATACTTCTATACTTATTTATGCGTAAGAGTCAGGCAGAGAGAGACCCCAAGGGTCTCAGAAGGGGCTCTTCCACCTGAGGGCTACAAGCAGGCAGCAGCCTGGCTGGCAGCAGGAGGAGAACCAGCACTTGGTGCCCTGTGAGGATAAGTTGAGAAGCTCACCTTCCTGTGAGAAGCTGAGAAAAAGCTGAGAAGCTACCTACCTCTACAGGAGGGTAGCCAAAACAGTGCTGTAACCGCGTTAACTACAGTGTGCTTCCTCCTGAGGTAAAGGGAGCCGCAACAGCAGTTTCTCTCAGTGCAACCCAGGACCTAGACAGATTGACAAGTAACTTTTAATTAACTGAGCCCTAAAATACACCTTGGTTGCCGCAGTCCCCCTGAGAGCACCTCACGCGGATTAGCCTACCACAGGGGCGTTAATTAGAAGCACCACCACCTCCTGCCTCCCTGAGGAGCGCGCTCTCCTGGCGGCTCCCCAGACGCCCCTCACGGCTCCCAGCCCCTGCCCACACCGGCAGCCCTTCCCTCCGCCGAGCGGCACGCCTGGAGCCCCCTCCCGCCCACCTGCCTCCGCCCAGCGGCCGGGCCCCACTCTGTCAGCCAGCCCCGAGGGAGGCACCGCCCGGCCCCACAGCGGGCGGGCCCCGCGGGGACCCCCTCGGCGTGCCAGACCCCGGCCCTCGGGCCCTGGCCCCTCAAGCCCGGGGGCGCCATTTTGCTGTCGCCCCCCTCGGGAGCAGCCGCCGGTTGCCACGGCAACGGCGGGTGGCGGGAAGGCCGCTGCGCCGGGCTGAGGCGGCGGCGCCGGGCTGAGGCGGGCAGCGGGAGGGAGGCCGAGGGCGCCGTCACCACAGCCTTGATCGCGGCCTCCCGGCCCCGTCGTGCCCGGCATCCCCACGGGGACAAGGAGCCCATGGCTGTCCCAGGGCCGGTTCTCTCTCCTGCACAGCAATGCCGAGCGCCCAGCCCTCTCGGCCCTTCGGTTGCCCCCACCTGATCCACACAAAGTCCTGACTGCTGCCCTACCGAGAGCACCGTTTGTCCTGCATTATTCATGCTCTCAGCACTGGAAATGAAAAACGAAATATATATATATATATATATATATATATATATATTCATTTAAAGCTATTTTTCAGATCGCTTCGAAATTCAAATTAATTAAGATTAATTAAAAATTAAATAAAAAATAAAAAGCTCCAAAAGTGATTTTTATTTCACTTACATCTTTAATGTAGCAGTAACTCCAGTGGGGCTGGTATTTTTAGTTTCATGTGGCACAACAAGAGAAACGGGGACTGGCTATCCTAACGTGGCAGCGCTGAGGAGCAGGACCACGCAGGTGGCAGCCTTCAGTTGAGGATATGAAGGGCGAAACACATCTGGCAAGCCAAAGGGGAGACAAGGAAGGGACACTGCTACTGAAGTTCCCTGTAAGAGTGGCCTCCAGTCATTTTTCCCCAAAGCCAAACAGATTTCCTAATGGCCCCAACAAATGCAGGGTGAGGAGAAAGAAGAGCCCCATTCCTGTCTCTCCCCTCAGCACCACAGCAGCTACCGCCAGGCTTTTTCCCTCCTTGGATGCATGAAAGAAGAACCTTTAATCCTCTTGGAAGAAGTGCCCTTTTCACAGTCGAAACACCCTGCCATTCTGGGAATATGAATGTAGATGCTTTTGAAAAGCAAGTAAATATCTGGCCCACAGGGGAAAAAGTCTGCATTTGAATTTCAGGCCTGTGACTGAACAGTGAAACTCCTAAAGGCAGAGAATGCAGAAGCAGTATGGGATCCTCGCGCAGACCCAAGTGTAATCCTTACACTATCCCCCATCGTTTAACAACCCCACCGGAGCTGATGACATGGCTTTTGTCAGCGGTCGGGTGTTGAGTGCTGGAGTCCAGGTAAGAAACAGGTTCCCAGTATGCTGGGCGCACATAGAAATACAGGAAAACACTTTACTGCTCCAAATTCCCAAAGTAATCTGAAATAAGGTGCAAGAATTGGGTAGAAAAGCAGCAAAAAGAAGGGCTTGTACGGTCATAGTTACATAGCTGGGATTTCATGGCCTTGGGCAGCGTGATGTTGACTATTTCCACCAGTTCAGTTAATTTATCCTTCTGCTGCTGAACCACCAGTTTCTGGTGGCTCCACTGACAGGTAGTTAGTCACCAGCAGTTCCTTGGTCAGTCACAACTTGGGATAATCTTATGAGGAAAAGTAGGTGGGCTGAAAATAAACTCCAGGAAGAGGTTCATTTCTGAACAAGGTGGGTCTCCTATGTTATGGATAATGCAGTGTGTTCAGAAACAAGGGATTAATGTGAGACACTGCTTGATGCTAGGGCTTCTCGATTACCTTCATTCAGCAAGGAAAATCATATGTCTGAAAATTTACCTGCACTTCTTTTCCAAGAGGATGTCTTGACACCAAAATACTTGACTAAATAATACTTTACAAACATATTAAACACAGGTAACAGACCTTTGCATAAAGCAGAATGAGTATAATATTCCAAAACTGGCCAAAACCGTAACTGTATTAATCGTTGCTATAAATTACTTTGAGAAGGGCAATATGCAGGGTCCAGTATCATTAAATCATTTTTATTTCAAACTGTATTGAGGCTAATCTGTTTACAGGTTCCTTCTGAAATTCCCACAAAGGCTAATTGCAAATAAAAGCTGGATATTACAATCTAAAATTAACTTCCTTTAATAACCTTTCCAACTGAAAACTTTGACTACAAGGTGGCAAAAACTGTGTGATTATAATAGAACACTTAAACTAAAGGTTAAACAAGGGTTTAGCAAAGAATTTGGTTATTCTCTCCTCTATGCACCATTTCCTTCAATGCGTATTTCATGATGAGAAATGTGCTTCTTATTTAAAGAGTTTACTCCAGCACAAAGAAAGGTAATCTCTTCTTCTCTCTGAGAAGAAATCCATGACAGAAATGTGAACTAATCCAATGTTTAAAGAGTTAAGAGCACAGATCCATGAAAAATGATGCTGCAGCACATGTTGGTTAGAACAGATAAGTATGATTTCCACTACTTGGCAATGCTGTTTCTATATCAGACTTTTTGGAGACATCTGTTTTATTAACTTCACATACCTGCACCACATCTGAAGTGATACCATTGGTATTAAAGAATTTACGGTCTGGATTCTGAAATTTTCCTCTCACAGAATATTTGTCTCTGTTTTTCAACCAAATGCATGGTTTCAAGTAAAGAAGTGTATGCCCCTGTGTCTGCCTCAAAGGATGCCAGGCAGGAGGAATGAAAGGCTCTGAATATCTGCATATCTAAAATCAGTGAAGCAAAGGAGAAGAGACCATCAGGGAGACTGTTAAGGTCCCTGATTCTCAGGCCCAGTGTAAATTAGAGCCCAGCTGGCAATGGTACTCAGGAGACCATACGCTAGCTGAGGATGGCTGGAGCACAGCATGTTGCAACCATATGTCTGACATACTGCCTCCCTTCCAAGGGTCTCTGGCATAACGGGATTTGGATAGGCTCTGCTCAGCTGTCCAGGTTCAGAGCCCTCATCTTCTTTGTGCTAAAACAAAGGCATCCGGGCTGCAGCTAAAATCTCATCCCCAGCAGCGCCTAAGCAGGCCAGGAAGAACAACACTGCCGTGCATCACCCTCTCGGTAGGAGCACGTTCCCACCACGGTGTGTGGTGGAAATGCTCCAGCTGAGCCCACCCACATTGCAGGTGGGCAGGGATGACCATCACGGGGTTAGGATGCTGGGATGAAAACTGGAGCTGTGCTGCAGCAGCACCACAATGTAGATAGACCTGAAAAAAACATTGTTCAAAACTGCTGTCAGCCCCAAGTTTTTCTGTGTTGCAGCAGTAGGAATCCTAAACCAGAACACTGCTACTGCTGCCTTTTTGTATTGACTATTATCAGGAATTAGTTTTGTTTGTTTGTTTGTTTTTCTGAGGTGTGTCCTAATTTGCAAGTTAGCCTTAGCCCCACAAACTCCACTACTCATTTCATTTAACAGATAAATTTCATGACCCTGAATTATTTTTTTTTCAGTTTCCTCCACACAGCTGTGCTTTTTCTGTTAGATGTTTTGTGACACAAAAGTGTGCTTCATTCATTCTCCATGTGCTGTTAAGTTTGTGTTCTGTTTTAGTGGCCAAGAAGTCAATCCCTTGCCTCCCAAGAGAATTTATCCGTCTACTCAGACTGCTGTCTGTGGATCACAACAGCTTGTACATCCTTTCACTTAGAGCTGGTCTGAAACTGCAGTGTTTAAGAACATTTTCTTCCCTGTTACTGACATCAGACTTTCCCTGATCTTCCCTTGATTACTCTGTCCCTTTCTGGAATCACAGGGAGTCTCCGTATCTGAAAGAATTTGCTCAGCTTTCTTCCATTCTCATGTCAGCATTGTGCTCTGTTGAGCTACTGCTCTCTCAGATTCTGTCCCAGCCGTGCAAGATCCAGACCCCTCAGTCTATTATTTGCCAAAGAAAAAGAGGGCTGAAATTCTGCTCTGTAAATAAGAGCAACCTACCTGTGATTCTAGATGTGCATGTATATCCTAAGATATCCTAAGAACAGAACGTGATATGATCCAAAAGGGGCATTATGGCTCTTTTCTTTATTCTCTGCATTCAGTTAAGTGGTATTTTTGCAGTGTAACTTATTCCAGACCTTTGCTGGAAGAAGCTATGCATATAACCTCCCTTAGAAGTGTATTCTGTTGGGAGCTGCCTGGCTACACAGAATTTTATACATCGTTCAGCTAAGTCAGCGATCCATATGCAAAAATCAAGCTCTCAGGGACACCATGTGGATTTGTGACATGCTACAGAGTACTGTGTGTCTCCAAAAACCAATGAATGGATTACACTCAACCATAAAAAAGTTTTTTCCTCTCCGTGATGTATTTAATATGGATAAGCTTTATTTAATAAGTAGCTAAAAATGAATGCCATGTAAGTTACTTAAGCAGGTTAAAAATATTCCTTGATACTGTAACTGTTTAAGACCATGAGTGAGAGAACACAACAAACTGAGAAATACCATGCTGAGAGCTAACATGGGACATCTTCATTAAGTAAATTTAATTTGAGGAACTGTTTTTGGCTTATAACAGTCAGAAGCAGAGGAGACAGGCAGACCTCTTCTATCCTGTATTTCCTGACAGGGTATTTCATCTTGGCAGTCCAGTGTAGATTATTTCCTTATATCACACTGTTGTCATGAGTTAGGCACTGGATAATGGATAGCCTCAAAAACAGACCGTATGTATTTAGTCAATAAAGTAATGGTTTGTAAATTCACACAGCGGCAATCCGTCTCTTGAAAAGAATAGAGGAACATTCAAGGGAAAAGAGTGACAAGACTTGGTGAGTGCCTAATGATCAGATTTTGTTCTCTGCATGGTCATGCTTTCTGCTCCCAGGAAATTCCTTATCTGCCTACAAAACAATTTCTTGTCTAAATTAGCAAATCCTGGGTCAAATTTCCACTGCAGAATGACTGGCACTGCAGCTGGCTTCAACTGGGAGATGTCCTTAATTCTTCCCTTTTTTTTTCTTTGCTATATGTCAACCGACTGTGGCAAGTGTTGGTACTTCAAGGTGCTTAATATTTTCAGGTTTCTCACAAGAACAAACCTTTCCCGCCAGCTCAACGCATTTGTAACATCAGCCTTCCACACCTCTGCTTCTATCTCATTTTCGCTAGGGGAGGTGATGGTGCTAGTCACAGGACCCGTGGTGTGCCTGCTCTGCGCTCAGATGTGTTTCTCCCCATGTTTCTGCAGTCAGTCTTCTCCCTCCAGGAAACCAGCCTAAAGGCAGTCACATCCATGAATCCTCACTGAAGGCAAAAAAATCACATAGGCTTTGCTGACTGAAGGCACACTGGAGTGTCCAGCAACTACTTCTGAGGCACCTATGTCTTACTCAAATCTTTGCCCCCCAAGTAAAACTCCATCTAGAATACAGCTGTGCCTTAACTGTGATTGGGAAAAATATTAGTCTACATATAGACGTAGATTCCTTTCTTTTAACGGAACAAAAAACTAATTAAACCTGCTTTAAACATTCCATTCGATGATAGACTTTCTTATATGAAATGCCCACTGGGGCGTGAGGTGTTTCAGAGAGGACCAGGCAGTCTGGGGATTTCTTCCTTCAGTTTTTGCAGTTAGTTCTCACCACCGAGAAGCCAGAAACAACCTCAGGTTCAGATATGTAACAAGAGAAGTCCTGAAGTCAGGCTCAAACCTCAAGTTATGACACACATGGAAAAGAAAAAGCACTAAGAAAGAATGAGGTCTACCAAAATAAATTCATACAGGCCCTTGAAGAGCAGTACAGACTGGAAGTCGTTACGCTAATTCGTACATCATGGTGTAGAAGAGATTGATGTTATTTTTCAGTTCACAATACCTTCTTTCACACAGACAATAGAATTAAACCTGATCTTTACTTTGTATGTAATTAGAAATGCATTTGTAACATTTTTTTGAAATCTAGGAAATTTCTATTCCTTTAAATTTGTATCTTTTTGTGATCCTGTCATCTTCTGTTCACTAAAAAATACACAAGGCAATAGTTTTGGAAAACACCAAAAAACAGAGAAAAATTACATGGGGTTCTTTTTGGACTTCTATTTCACAGAGTCTTAAGACTGTCAGGAAATTTTTGATCTGTTCATTAAAAAAGTTGAAATGAGCTCCGTAATAATTAGATAAAAAAAGAACAACAACCACACATTATGGAGTGGTTCTGCCCAATTCAGGTTTTAAGCATTTACACAGAATACAAACTGCTGATAAGAAAAAAATCCAAAGTATTTATTTTGAAGTATTTAGTATCTTAATAAACACATGCTGGGCATTTAGCCAAGAAGTTTTAAAACACCATGATGAGTTATAACTTAGCACTGTTCGTTATAATATCATACAATCATGCTCAGGAATCTTCTGTTATAAATTTTGTACTGCTTTATAAGGAGGATAATAGAGTTGTTGAGAAAATAAGTTATGTATGTTCACTTCTAACAGTATTTCTTCTTTTTTTCGCTACACACTAGTTAATATTTTCCTTTGTACACTTCTTAATAGTTGAGCTCCAAGTGAAACTCTGGAAAACAACATTAGGATTCAAAATGAAGTGGAAGATTTTATTTTCAGGGTCACAAGTAGCATAGCGAGATTTCTCTCTTAAACAATGACACTTAGTATCTCTGTAGTTCTATGAATACTTTTGAAGTGTCATATTAAAACCAATCTCTTGGCCTTCAGGCAAAGAGAAGCAATTAGTCTTGGAGTTGTGAATAAATAAAAATCCATTTATATACCCGTCCTTGACATGTACCTTGCAAATCTTAGAAACTTCATCTAGTGGGAAAAGAAATGTTAAATCACGAACGCCAATACTAATCGTATTGCAATGTTGCTTCCTAAAACTGTTTAGTTTGTATCAATCTTTTAAGTATTAATTCATATGTATATATTCATACATATTGAAATACAACAACAGAAAGGCATTCGCACACTTGAGTGAGAAGAAAGAAAAGAGTGAGTGCATATAGAGCTATAATGCGCACTTTTATTATCCTTGGCATTAAGCTAGGCAAGAAAAAAATCAAAGCTCCCAAGTACATTGTTCTTTTCTAGATACTGTAAAAACAATCCTGCACAAGCTACGTACCACGCGCGTGCCTCTTTCATCCCAAGTGCTCCTAAGTCTTCACTTTGGTCTGCAAGCAAACACAACAAATCTTTATTAGCCACGCATCCCATTACCGTGCGGCACAATTAAATGGTACCTGTCGCAGATGTGCTGGGATGAGTCAGGAAACAATTTCTACTTTTTCTCAGTGCAATATTTTTAGGTCCTCTCTTTCCTCTTTGCTTTGCCTCAGCGCAGAAGCATCCTATTTCTATGATGCTCTGCTTGCTGCTCAAGATTCTCCTATTTATTTATTTAGCAGTCAGTAGTTCACAGCAGAACATAGTAGCCAAGTCCTCCCAAAGAGTTGCCTGCGCCCCTACAGAAACACTGAGCACGGCTGGGGCCATGTGCCAGGTCACCGAGCCTCAGTGGATCTCGTCCTCCCCGTCCTCCACTTGTTGAGCAGAGATTTGGGAGATGAGGCCGCTCAGGCTGCAGCCTGGTCAGGTGAGGAGGTGAGGCAGCTGTCTGGGGGCACGCTTGTGCTCGGAGGTCACTGCGGGATAAAATCCAGCCTCCTGTGCCGCTCGCTTGCAGAGAGTCACAGCCCACAGGTCAGAGGTGGGACGGTGACCCTGGCGAAGGATCACACCTGGGCCGGTGGGATGGTCAAGGAAAACAAATTGTAGTCTGTTCTGGATGCAAATCTCTCTGCTGACCTAGTTCTCATTCTCCTTTTCATTTCAGAAGCTCAGCTAAAAATCCATAAATTAAGGAAATTAACTGATGGAGCCTCCGGCATCTTTGTAAGCTATTTAAATCTTTAAATTTACAACATCTTCTGCATATATCAAGTAATTGAACTAACTGCAGGGATGTAACTTTAATGAGAAAATTTCCCTCTTCTCCTGTAGTTTGTACTCGAGAAAAAAAAAAAAAAAAAAAAAAAAAAAAGGAAAAAAGAAAAAAAGAAAAAAAAAAAAAGCAAGCTACCCTTAGGAGCAAACTTTCTGTTTATTCCTGCCACGGAAGGTAACTTTACCCCCGCTCCCCGCGGCGGGGTCCCGCCTGCCTTCCCCGCGGCGGGGCGGCCCCGGGCCCCGCGGGGGGTGCGCGGAGGGGCGCGCAGCCCCCGCCCCGAGCCGGGCGGCCCCGCGCAGCGTTGCGTAACTCCCTGCGCGGCCGCGCTCGGCGGCTAGAAGGCGCTGCAGCCCCGCCGCCAACGGGACGCCCCTTCCGCGGCCGCGGTGCAGCCCGGCGGAGCCCCCCCACCCCCCGTTTCTCCGCCTTAGCAGAGCGCAGCCCCGCGGGGACTCGAGGAAAGGCGCGGACACGGCCGGAGCTGAAAGTTGAAGGCGGGCGGGCTCTGCTTTAAAAAACATAATGTATATAATATATATATATGATTTTTTTAGGAAGGGGGGGGGTGTCGCTTGCCCGCCCCCGTCCCCTCCGGGCGCGCTGCGCGCCCGCGGAGCCGCCCGCGGAGCCCCGCGCCATCGCGCCGTGCGCTCTAATTGAAATGGCGCTTTTGGCCGGGGGCGGGCTGCCAGGGCGCTCCGCAATAGCACAATGCATGTCGATAGACGTCATTTGGTTTTAATGGCCTACAGGAAATTTGGCGTTTACAATGCGAGACATTAGCAAAGGGTGAAAGGGAGGGGGAGGCAGGCGGGGGGGAGCGAGGGCTGGCAATAATTGCGGCCCCCCCGCCGCCCGGACCCCCCGTCTGCGCCCCGGCGGCGCTGGGGGCTGGGGGCCCGCCGTATTTTTTTTGATATATTTTATTTTTTATTATTTATTTTTGAACTTGATCTAGTTTATCAACAAGTGCAGAGTGGGTGCTACCCTAATTGTAACCGAGGAGCCGAGAGATGTGAGAAACGTGCCCTGCGTTACTTATTTGGGAGCCGAAAATTTATGCCTAGTCGAAAACGCCTGGGGAAATATTACATCAGACCAAATGACAATGATTAAAATCAGCTTTTTCCCCCCCTTTCGCCCCCCCTTTTTTTTTCCTCCTTCTTCTCTCCAGTAAGTCTGCTGAAGGACGTGACGGCGGCCCGAGCCCGAGCCTCCCCGGCCCCGGACCGTTATCCCCGGGCAGCGCCGGGCCGGCTGCGCGGGGCTGCGCGGGATTTGCGCGGAGCTCCGCGCCCCCCCTTCCCCCCCTCCAAGCCCCGAGGGGCTCCGCGGGCGGCGGCGGCGCCGGGGGGCTCGGGTTGGGGCGCCCGCCGCCTTCCCGGCCCCATTCCGTTGTCAAGGGGTTGTGTTTGATTTTATTGGGGGGGTCGGGGGGGAATAAATGTGGGGACCTTCACCAAAAGGAGGGGAAAATATCCAATTTTCATCGCAAAATTAGCTAGGGCGAGAGCAAAGGGCTGAGCTAATTGTAGCCTAATCCTCTGCCCTGCAGGCGTTTGCAAAGCCCTGAGCAAGAATTCGCTTTTTTTCCTCCTCTTCTCCCTTCCCTCTGTTATTTAGAGACGGGATTATTGCCTTTCTTCTCATAACAGCCTCGGCAGTTTCATTTAAAGGCTTTTTCCCCCCCTCGCACACACACACACATCCGCGCACAGACAAAATAAATAGAAAGAAGCAAGGAAAAAAAAAAAAACAGAGAGGGGGAGAGCGAGCGAGGAGAGAGCAGCTTTAAAAATCACAATAATCACAGCAGGATCCGAGCGGCAAAGACAGTAATAAAAGAAAAAAAAAAAAAGAGAGAGAAAAAAAAAAGAAAAAGCCAACCTAAACCCAGCCACACACAAACCCAAGCGAGCCCAAAAAGCCGAGGGGGGGCTCGCAGATCTCCGCTCAAGGTAAGCAACGCGGCGGCCGCTCCCGCGGTGCCCGGGCCGGGCCGGGGCGCGCCGTGCGTTCCTGCGCTGCGCATCGCGCTGCACCGCGCCTCTCCTCCTCTCTCTCCCCCCCCTCTTTTTTTTTTTTTTTTTTTTTTTTTTTTTTTTGGGAAACTGCCTCTTCTCCCAACTAACTCGGCTTCCGAGGAGCAGCGAGCGGAGGGGCGTTTTTTTTTTTTCCCTTTTTTTTTTTTTTTTTTTTTTTTTAAAGCTACAGGAGCCGTTCGCGAGCCTCCCCGCTTCGCTAGCGCTGCGTGGCCGTGTGTCCGTGCGTGTATGTTTTGTTTTGCTCCGCTCCGACATGGGCACCGCCGGCGGAGCCCCGCGGCCCGGGCTGCCCGCGCTGCCGCCCCCCCGGCCGCGGCTCTGAAGCCGGCCCGGCCCCGGCGCGGCGGCGGAGGCGGCGCGGTTCGCTCCGCGCCCTCGCACGGTACGAGGGGAGGAGGGGGGGGGGGGGGGGGGGCAGCGCTGCGCGGGGTTTGCGCGGGGCTTGCGCGGGGGCGGCGGCCGGGCACAAAGGGAAGGCGGGCGACAATGGGGAACGCTGCGCCTGGAAGCCGCGGGCGGGCTGTGAATGAAACTCTGGCGCCAGTGAGAGTGGAAGGCTCGGGCTGGGGTAGACTTCAAACCACTCTAGGCTATAGTTTGCATCGGGGCTGCTGCATGCGATGTGGCACACTTCTGCGAAATGAATGCGTTAGCCGGGCTAATGCTCGCCACCATTGGCTGCGCAGGGCTTGCACAGGAGCGGGGATTCGTGTTTTTTTTTTTTTTTTTTTTTTTTTTTTTCTTTTTCCTCGCGTTCATCTAAGACATCTCCTTTCTTGTTATGTGGGAATAAGTAAAGGACGCCATGTTGTGCTTTTTTATTTTTTTTTTTTCGGGGGGGGGGGGAATTTCCCCTTCGGGCACGGGGTGCCCGCGGCAGGCACAGGCGCAAGTCCCGCGGGCGGGCGCGGTGCTGGCCGCAGGTCTCCGCGGGGCCGGGGGATGGGGAGTCGGGGGGACAGCGGAAAGCCTCGTCTTCTTCTCCCCCTTTTTTATTTCCTTTCGGTGAGGAGACCTCCAGAGGGAGCCCCCCCTCTCCTCTGCCCCCCCCCCCGGAAAAGTTTTGGGCACGACCCGCTGTGTCACGGTGCCGGCGCGGAGGTGTGTGCGCGAATGTTTGCGGACTTTGAATCGCCGAGCCCCGGCGGGCGGAGGCGGCCAGTAACCCCATCCCTTCTTTGTCTTTAGGCTCGCTCCTCGCCGTAAACAATTGTCTCCGAGGGGCTCTGGAGGCAGACCCGAGCGGTCGCCGTGCGTGTTTATGGAGACAAAGGTAATCGCCCGCTCTGCGCCCCGGCCCCTCCGCCGGAGCCGGGCCCCGGCTCCGCGCCCGCTCCCGGGGCCTCGGCGCCCGCTCCCGCAGCCCCGGGGCGGCCTCGGGCTCTGCCCCGGCGAGGTCGGGGCTGCGGGGAGGGCGGGGAGAGCCCCCCGGCCCCCTGCTCCCCGCCTCGGTCCCGGGGCACCCCCAGCTCCGGCGGCCGGGGGGAGCCAGCCGGCTGCGGCAGCGCCTTCAACCTGCAGCCCTCGGCTGGCGTCGCGAACGCGCACGAAGGAATTAAACTGCCCGAGTGAATAACAGCATTAGTTTCAATTAATTTTTATCCTGGCAACAATAAACTTTAGCAACAAAGCGCCTTTACATCCTTAATTAGCCTTGCTTCCCATCTGTAGTCTTTTAAGTGCCTGCTCCTTGATTTAACTTTGTCCCTCCTTCGGAGCTGCCTCCTTTTTCATTCCTTCCCCTTTTTTCTTGTTATCCCTTCCAGACTGCTGCTTGCTTCTCTCCTGCAACCTTTCACCTCCCTTGTCCCTATCTGTCTGCTCTGCTCTCTGCAGTTTATTTCTACTGTATTTTCCCAACATCAACAGCAGTATTGGTTACCATGGCCCCGAGCTATGTGCAGAGGTGGGAAAGCTTCATCCGCCCAAAAGTTCTTACACTTTTGAAGTCTTTCTTTTAGTAGGATCTGAAATGTATCATCTAGAGTGTGTATTAAATGAACAGTATTCCTGAAGGCTTTAGAGCAAGAAAGGCAACACCCTGGAAAATTCTGCAGTCTTTCAGCATTCTCTGCCCTAGGGTTATAGCCCTGGGCACGGAGCTGAATGGAGCTCTTACAACTGCCTTCTGTTTACCTTTTATGGTTAAAATAACAGCTTAGCAAAGAAGCAACTTCATGGAGAAACGATTCAGTGAAATCATCTCAAGCTGTAGCAGCATAGCTAGTTTAATCACCCCTAGAGAGCTGAACAACTGTGAGCACAATGGGACACAAAATCATTTTGTGTGTAAATGAGCATGGCATTGTGATTATTTCACTTTGCATGGGCAAATAGTTTTTACAAGCAGTACTTATGCAGTTAGCTTAGAAAGGCAGAAAAAGATAAGCTGGCTCTGAAAGATCTTGGTGTGTAATGTTTGAAAAACTAAATATTCAGATAATTTGGGAATCAGGCTCTATTGATTTTGCCTTCAGCAGGTTCCTGTGTTACTTATTAGAGCGGGGTTATTGCCTGTGCCACTAGTTGGGATGCTGTATCCTGTTGTAGGCAACTAAAGTGCAGGGATTATTTTACATGGTTTAATAAATGAAGTTTGTTAGTGTTTCTGCAATATTTACCCTTAAGGTTTTAATTTTCACATCAGTATTAGAAAATATGTGCATAAAGACTTTCACTGGATAAATACATTTAGGATTTCGCTTTGTGCATAAAATAAGTGCATTACTCGGTGTGATGAATTTTATCTGCGTTTTACATTAAGAAGAGGAAGGAGTCATTAGTAGGGTTATGGTACCTTAAGAAATACGGGATGTTTATTTTGTTGGAGCACTACGAGTCTTTTCAATGTCCTTAACGCAGTATTCAACAATTATGGCCCTTGATAATTTGCTCCTACAAAATGACTGAACTCCGCAACTTTAATAAACACGGCGGGCTCCTTTTTTTAATGCCAATGCTCTCCAAGCAGGGGAAAAGCCCATCTTTTAATTCCCCTTCTCCTCCCCTCCCCCCAAAAGCCAGTAGCATCCTCAGTAAGTATGAAAAGCCATAAAAGTTTGAGAACTATTTTAGCTTTCCAGTGATTTTCTATAATTAAGTGTTTTTTCAACACATGCTCTAGCTGAGAGATGCCAAAAGCAGAGGATTGTTCAAAAGGTCCCTCCAGTGAATAGTATAAATTAAATATCTACTGTGTGAGTATGGCCTCACTGAGAATCTCAGACTCTTTACAGATCAAGGAATTTACTGGTATACTAACATTAAACAAAATCCTAAGATAGCAGCAGTGTTTAAATATGCACAAATAGATTCAGATCACTTGATCTTTAGCTATCTCTGCATATTTTAAAACTGAAGTCTGTATTTCAAGACAAATGGTTAAATACAAGACTCATTTACAGAGGACTGGAAGCCCTTTGATTTCATTTGGAAATTGTAACAAGGGGTACAGATGAGTCCTAATTAGGCACTTGTTTTGTGAAACTGCGTGAGATGTCTTTCTAAGGCAGCTCTATACCGCGCAAGGTCTGTACCTTTATCATTAGTGATAATAGTTAGGGTCTGAACAAAGACAGGGTTGACATTCAGCCTGTGTCTCCTGACCCTTTCATTTAAGTGAAGGAGCAGAGAATGAACATGAGTTTGCAGTGCTCTTTGGTAAGAGGAAAAAAAAGTCTTTGTGTTGGCAGACAGCTGAGGCACTCACAGATTAGTAAACACATCACTAAAATACTGCAGGTACTTGCATACTAAGTTGTTTTTAAAAGTTAGTTCTCCTATGTATACTGTACGATGCATTTAGTACAGCTTGCCCACAACAGGCTCTTGTGGGAAACGAGCAAGCAACATCTTCAGTCATGAAAGGATTCAATCACTTTCCTTGAAGGTGGTGCTGTAGTAAAAATGTTAATGCCCAATTTCACATCGACTGACACACAAGTCCTAGGACAGAGTTGGTATTTGCTTCGCGTTCAGTGCAGATGTCCATTCTGCCTCCGAAGAGAAAAGGATGTGGATTCACAATGGGGTGATGTATTGCTGCGCTGTAGATGCAGGAAATCCTTAGGAGCTAAACTAGATGAAATGCAGTAAATGGAGATGTTGTGATGACTTTATGAAGCTGTCCAGATGTGTTAGTTTTTTTCAGTTCCTTTCTGCATAGCTCAGATTTTTATTTTTGCTTTATGAAGAATGTTGCTAATTGTATGCTCGTTGAGTGGCGTAGCCAGGCACCTTGTGCAAAATACTTACTGCTAAGAGAAAGGCGAGACCACCTTCAGATTTTTAAGAAACATTGTCAAAGTAACGTGGGAGAAACGGGAATTCACTTTGTAATGCTGTATGTAAAGTGCTTGTCAGATGTAAGGAAGAGTCTGGATGTTTGGTAGCATGCTTGCAAAACAAAATACCAAGAAAATTAGATTATATTCAGAAATGTCTTCAGCTATAATGCTTTGCATATGTTGCTTTACCCATAAGGGGGAGAATGGATGGACATTTTCATGATCTTTTACGGAAGGTTTTTTGCTCTTTGGCATGTATGCTATCTGTACTGATTTAACTGAAATTAGCTTTAAGACACACGTTTAATGCAGAATAAGCTGTGCTTTTCCTCCTGAAGAGAACTGAGGATTTTTCTTTTGCTTTGGTAGTCCTTTTCATGTGTAAAACATTTAAGTATTTTTTGCTTAGTACATCAGCTGAAGATTTTGGACTCGATTCAGTAATTTCACTCGTTTTCAAATGTTTTTAGTGCAGTAAGCATTAGGTGGGTTGTTGAATTTGTAATTTCATGTGCCAGGCTGTGTAGTAATTTCTAACGGTTCTTGTCATGAAAACACAGGTCAGTTTATGTATCTTTCTGTTTTCACTGCTTCCGGGTATTAATTGCATTCAGTTTGAAAGCTTATTAGTTCTTTATATCTAATATTAAGGCTTAACTAAAAATTATCCATTTATTTTGCAATTATTGAAAATAAAACACAAAATTGATCTTAGTTTGATGTGAAATTTACTACATGTATAAACTAAATGCCTTAGGTACTGAGGAAGTCACTAATTTAGAGGTGTCTCGTTACTGAGACAAACTTGCAAAAACCCCTGAATCCCAATTCACAAATTGGTTATTCGTTTGTCAGGGGATATTTCACATCTAACACATAAGCCTGCGACCTTTAATTAGAATTTTGCAGTTTGTTTTATGCCCCTTGAGGCTGACACCTTGAAATTTTTTTTTCTTGATTTCTTATTGCTAATAAGCATCTTTCTCTTCCCCTCTGGTACTTTGAAGAAAATGATGCAAATACACTTAATTACAGTGGTGGCAATAATTTGTTAGCTGAATATGTGATCAGGCAGATGCAAAAATGATCTGATTAGATCTGTGATCACACTGGAAATAAAGGCAAAACACTGCTACATTTAAGAGAAACTGTTCTTTTTTGTCCTCCGTTTCCAGGAGGGAAGAAGCATGTCCCGTCTGTCTCTAACACGGTCCCCAGTTTCTCCTCTGGCTGCTCAAGGAATTCCTCTCCCCGCTCAACTCACCAAGTCGAATGCTCCTGTGCACATCGATGTAGGAGGACACATGTACACCAGCAGCCTGGCTACCCTGACGAAGTACCCGGACTCCAGGTAAGACCTCTGTGCTTTCAGGCTCTCTGCCTCTTTCTGTTCATCGCATGGAAATACGCATGTACCTGTGTGGAACATTGCAGTGTGAAATACGATTTATTATATATTCACCACTTATGAATAATTCAGTTTCCGATTTATACATTAACTTCACTGGGGTTGTATAGAAAAAAACACCTGTACAATTTATGTATTATTTAGAGAGCCTATTCATTTTCTCTTTCAACGTCTTCAGCACTGTAGCGCTACGTGTGAAGCACCTGTTGGTGTGCCTGTCCTGGATTATTTCCAATTATACGCAGTGACTTCGTTCTTTCAGATGTAGAAAAAAAACCTTTTAATTTTCCTTCTTTTGGGAGAACAGAACAGCTCGGTTACACAGGGACTGATGGATGCTTCTGTCGGCCAGCAGAAATCCTAAACTCAGGCATAGCTTGGTGCCTCTGTGGCAGCAGGTGTGTCCCGTGGGCAGTGGCCAGTGTACCTGCTCTGTGTGCTTGTAGCCACAGATTAGATGGAGTTTGTGTGGTTAAGGGCAGATGATTAGTGCTGAACGTGTTAATGGTGTGCCTGGCAAGAGGGATTCGGTTCTGGCCAATATTGCAGTGGGGACTCCGGATATGTCAAATTATGAACAGAGGTGGCATGAAAATATTGGTATTTACGAGACAGTCTCTTTATTACTTGCCCAGGTCCCAGTCCTGTGGGGTACTGGGCACTATGGCAGATGGGGCATGCTGGGCAGCATCAGGCCTGCAGTGGTAATATGGAAGGGATCACTGCAGGGTTGAAACATTTTAATTGGAATAGTGCATTAAGACACACCTGATTTTGATTTACAGTTATGATCAATAAAGAGATTCAGCTTTTTGTCATTCAGGCTGTTCATTCTTCGGAAGGCTAAGAGCCTTGTATGCGACCATCAGAAGCTGTAGGTAGCTGTGCAGTATCAGGGTGCCTGTCAGACTGCTTAAAGCAGGCACTATGGACTTAAAAGCAAACCAGAGCTCAGGACAGCAGCTTTAGATGTTGGAGGTTTTGCTACCTTCATGGCCAGTATTTCCACAAAGGGACAGACAGACAGGTTACTTTATTTTTTGGTATAGACAACCCATATAAAGGTATAAATGTATTTGAAGATTTCTCCTTTAAAAGAACTAAGGTTTCTTTTTGGCACAGATTTGGCAGGTTCCCAAGCAATAAATGACATTTATGGAGACACCTTGAAATCCCTCTGATGTCATAAAGCACACAGCTGTGATCTCATGCCAAGGAGACGTAGCTGCTAACATTGTCTATGGAAAAGAAACAATTATTAAAGTACCTATATTTTATGGTTAGGCCAAAACAATATAATTTTTCAGGACAGATTCTGTTTAATGATGTTTGTGTGGTAGTTCTTTGATCACAGAGAAGAAATCTGTTCAGTGGGGAGAGATTTATAACAGAGAAGCAGACAAAGGCTTCATAGTATAAAAAATACAGAGAAGATCAAGCAGTTGTGATGGAACAGCACATCTGTTTCCACAGTTTAAAATATCACTGCTGACACTATTTTTAAAATATGCCTATATCAGACTTGCTTAATAAAAACTTCAGTTATGTAAGTTTTAGGAAAATATACATAAATTCATATATTTTATTCAGAGAGAACAGGGTACTGGTTTCAAACCTCTTTTTTTTTTCCCTTTTTGCTAAATTCCGAAAGTGTATTCCCTCAGGTTTTGTGCTTTTATTTAAGGTAGAAGTACAAAACTGTGACTGACCAGATCTCATGTGCTGCCAGATGTTTTGTTGTGTACTGTATGAAGTCTGTATTGCAGTGTTATCTCGTAAGGCTTGAATGCTTTTTTACCTGCTCAAACTTCAGTTCTTACTGGAGCAAGAGCTTACAGTACTAGACTTGTGAACCAGAAGGATTAACTAGTAATCAGATACATTTCTATAGCAAAAATTAAACCCTCACCAGCACCAATAGGACATATTGATACGTTATGGGTGGAGGGTACAACTGAAGTTTAGAAGCAAACCTTACTTTTTTTTTTTTCTTCTTCATTCGGCTTTCTGCAGCACTGCATGATAGACTTGGTCGGTTACCCCCCTGTGAGCCTGGCTGCTCTCATTCCCAGTTAGAGCAAAGCAGAAGTTGCAGCTGTTTCAGTGGGGATGTTGGGAGCTCCTGATGGCGCCCCACTGCCCTGGTGTGCTGCTTCCATGAGGTGCAGGCTGTCTTTGCAGTGGTCAGGATGAGAGAGGCAACCGGGTCTCTTGCAGATGCAGGAGGAAGGAGATAGCTGTTCTGGGTGAGACATCTGGAAGTAATGCCAGAGCACTTTTAGCTTATGCTCACAGATGACATGCATGGCCACATACAGAGGCATGGCCATACTCATCCACATGCAGAGCTTCCTGGATTATTTTGGACAGCGTATTAAACTCTTGGTTTGAGCACGAGCTTGTAAACTTCAGATCTAAGAAATTAAACAAATCTGTAGCTTCTGTTTCAGCAAAAGATGTAAGCATATGCTGAAATGCTTTGCTAAATCTTAGCTTGTGTCACATAAAATACAATTTGCACTCACTAAAAGTGAAAGCTGTGGGAATAATCTTCCTGCTTATTTGTGTTACTATCTCTATTTCTTTCTCTGTGCTCTGAAATCCCAAACAGGCTTTTAGCTTGTAATATATAAAATGCATGTATGTTTAAGGACACATACAGATCATGAGCACATGTATAAATAAAATCAGGGTATGTATACACAGATGTCACATGCTAAAGGGAAATAGAAAAATAATCATTAAATCATGTTTATCCTTCAGTAGTATTTAAAGGAGGCCCAATCCTGTTAGGTCCTGAATAAGCTCAGTTCACGTTGACTTCAGAGGGAGGGAAGAGCTCTCAGCAGCTTGCCAGATCAGGCCCAGCAGGAGCAAGTATAGGTATGACCAGTTCCTGCCTATACCTGCTCTCCAGTCACCCCTCTGGTATGACATAAATTACACCTGACAGCAGGCAGCGTGATACATTTCTTATTGTAATTTGTTAGGATTGACTGTGCTCAGCCCACTCGCTTGCTTTGCTTGACTGTTCCCAAGTTATGTGGTTGGCTCTAATTCATGGAAACAAAGGACCTGATTCTGGGAGTCTTACTCACGTGAGGGATTAGCTGGTGATGTGAAGTCGGAGGCCAAATTTTGCATTTCAGTGATCCCAGAGTTGTTTTGGAGCAACTTTGACAAAGTCTTTGATGTTGTTTGTGCTAGTGCAGCTGCTGGGAGAAGAGAATTTGTCCACTGATTAAATTTGCATAAGTAAAGGGTGCCAGATTAGGCATTAAAAGTGGTAGACGCCCTCTTTCCTGTAAATTTTTATGGGGCTACATAAAATCTCTAAAGAAGAGAACACTCAAGCAGCACACAACTGGTGTGACAAAGAAAGAGGGTTAAACAGCCACTGTCAAAGATGGTTTCTAAACCGGTCATGCTCACCTTACTCATTACAGCCAGCTTTTTGAATGAAACACCATATAAATAAGCAAGTTGGCCTTTGAGAGGGTGAAAGGCAAGGAAAACAAGAAACACAAAAGAAATTGTGATCAGTGACAGCATAATGATGGTGGTCACGAAAATGATCTAGGAAGCATACCATTAATCCTTCTTCCGACAGCTAGTCGTGGCTGCTATCCTTGTACACCTGAAAATGACATTAAAGTTAACAAGCTTTTGGGGGGTACAGGGAAGCTGACATTTTCTTACCTGGACTTGAGGTTTACTTCCATAGTTTATTTTCAGGAAGTTCTCCCATCAAAACTGCCAACCCTGGTAGTTGTGAGCTACAGGTGTGCAAAGAAAAAACACCGTTGAATACTCATACCATCAGTATCTTAATTCTAAAGTAACTAGCTAAGCAGACAAATTACTCATCTTTGAGAGCATTTCCTCTAGAAATTCCATTCATGTTTTCACCCACAGGACCTCTAAAGCAGCCCCTTCACACATTGACACTTGAATATGGATTTATGTGACAGACTGTAAAGGCTGCAAAGGCTCTAGCACATTTATAAAGTGAGTTGCAAATTGTGTTTATCCAAGGGAGTGAGACTCAGTTCCTTAAAAAAAAAAAAAAAAAAAAAAGTCCAAGCTCTTAATGTGCAGGGAGGAGTACCCAAAGATGCTGCCAGATGATCCAGCCTTACTCCCACTGAGTTCAGTGACACACTTCTCATTGACTTTAAGTAGAAAAGAATTAAAAGTTCCAAATCCCCTTATACCACAGCAAGCCTACGCTTTGCCATTTCACTGACAAATTTGATACAATTTTGAATTTCTGTGAGAAAGCAGAACAAGATCTTTTTCATTAGAAGCTTGTCCTTTTTACCACCCTGCATAACGTTTATCTCAGAGAATTGCTGTGAGCTCTTTGTAAGTTGTTCAGCTATAAAAGGTAAATATATTTACCTTACATTCTTGGCTAATTAGTATTTGTTGTATAAGCCTCTATTAAAGATAAGCATGTTCTTTTCTTCAAAACATAGTTGTAAAAGGTCACACTTCCAGCAGCGTTAGCCACATGACAGAGGCGAGCAGGGATAACTGGAATTGAAGCAGGGGGTTCCTGGTGGGAGCCTCCCCACTAGTGGTGGGCAGCACAAGGTGGTCGGGACCTGCCTGCTCTCGGCCCTTCTTTGTCTGGCTAACCTACAGCACCCACCTTTCCTTGCTATTTCTGGCCGTTTTCCTGCCTCTGTAGGAGAGAACTTGTCTCAGTGGCCCAAAGCAGGAAGGCAGTGCTAACAGCACACGCCCTGACCACAGCTCTTGGGGCACCCTGCCTTCATCACCCACTTCTCTGGAGTCCTCCAAAGAAAACCAGCAGAGGCTTTATTTATTTTTTAACTGTTTCAGAAACCAGTGACATGACCATAGCTGTTAAGAGGCATGGTAGAGTTTTTCAGGCATATCCCTACCTCATTTTGAACCCGTGAACATTTTGGGGGATT